TAATTGGTGGTCTGTTCCACAATCAGCCCCCGGCCTAGTTTTCACAGCTGATATTGAGCTTCTCCAGCGGTTCCTTCCACAGATGTAGTCGATCTTATTTCTATGCATAACACCAGGTGAAGTCCATGTGTATAACCTGCGTTTGTGTCTCTTATAAAATGTATTTGCAATGAATAAGTCATTGATTTTTTACATAGAATACCAGAAATACCAAGAGAAAAAATAGTTCCATGTCCTCTTAGTCATCAAATTTTTTTCTTAAAGGGAAAAACCATCCCAATTTAGACCCCATTTCTAAACACTTATAGTTACTCTTTCAACTATTTTAAGTATCTCCTGAGAGGGACTGTCAAATATAAAAGGGTAAATATTTACTTAGTTCATCTTACTGAAAAACTGTAGTATTAGTACTCTGTTCAGAATTTTTTTAAACTTTCTGAAGCATAGACATTTAAAAAGTTTTGTATACCCTGTGAACTTCTGAAGGAAGAAAAAGAGCATATCTACACATTTAACCACCAAACCCAACCCAACACTCTCCAGTCAATTCTGACTCATGGAGACCCAAATTGTCAATGTTCATGGGAGGAGATTGCCCATCTTTCTGCCATAGTCGGGCTGGTGGAGTCACGCTGTAGACCTTTTGGTTAGCAGAGCAATCCTCAGTGCACTAATCCACCAGAGCCCCTTACCTGTACATATCACACAGAACTCAGGTTAAGAGCAGGGAGTGAAAAACAGATATTAGTCTGATTGATCCATTTGGCTTTGAGTACACCAAAAATTGTGCCAGACACATGGAGCACTGGGGAAATCTGTAAGAACCTCTCCCAAGTGCCAGAGAGCAAGGATAACACAAAACTCAGATGTGCCTGATTCAATCCACAGTATATCTAATTGCTTCATATGCCTTTGAAAGTTGGACAATGAAAAGGGAAGACTAGAGAAGGATTGAAGACGTCTTTGAGCTGTAGTGTTGAAAAAGAGCGCTAAGTATCCCACAGATCGACAAAAGAACTAATCTGTCTTAGAGGATGTGTGCTCCTTAGAGACAAGGATGGTAAAATTGTCTCATACTTTGGGAAGGCTGTCAGGACAGACAATTCCTTGGGAACAGGCATCACGCTGGGAAAGGGAGAGAGGATTACACTCAAGGAGATGGACTGACAAAGTACAGCAGAGATCGTGAGCCTGGCGCAGGCTATAGATATGTTGTTCACAGGCTGACTGAGGGAGTTGTGTCAGCCTGACAGCACCTAACAGCAGCAGCAGCTTTAAACAGGATTAGTGATGATTGTTTCCATTTCTTCCCATAATACATTTCAGCCTTAACACCTTAAAAGTTCACTTACTTTTTTTTTCTCCTATACTTCTATGGTGGTTTATTTTAACTAATAGGGCTACATGGGCTTTTACTTCCAACTTGAAGCAAATTCTGAAAATTGACTCGTAAAAAAAAACTTCATTCTTGATTTAGGAAGTGGACAAGAAACTATGCTGGAAGATAATAAACATAACACTTATCTACACAAGAGCAAGGCTTAAAGGGAGAAGGTAACCAAAGATTTAATGGGAGATAACTTGGGAAGAGAGTACTAAAGTTAGAAAATATTAAACTGAGCAATTAACTCTTAAAAATAAATTTCTACTCTTTAAATATCTAATACACATTCTTGTCAAAATAACTTACCCCTTAGAAAAGCAACTGAAATGCCATACAAGACTGACCCTACAATACATGAACAGAACAAAAGATGGTGACATCCATTCATTTTTCTAGCATCTCCAACTGGATAAACAAGTCCAAAACCTGATATACTGATCTTCCCACCCAATCTACTCTATCAGGACCTTTTTTCATGTCAAGTCCACCCTTCTAGGCCCCTCTTTCTCACAACACCGAGTATTTAAACTGCTGGAAATTTTATCTTTATATTTATCCTTAAAATGTTTCTAGAATACATTAATTTCTTTCTCAAAATGATTCATATGAGGTAGATTCTATGTTCAGCCCCTATTTCCAAAAAAAAGATAAATTACATTTTACCGAGAACAAGTTAAATGGTAAAGGTTATATAATTACAAGTGGTAGAGTCAGAATTTAGCCTACAAAATGCAACACCAGAGGCCATGTTCTTATGAAGCATTACTTCCCAAGAGACAGGTAAAGCCAGTCTTGAACATTATCTATTCCAGTTTAATCCATTAATAGTTCCTAGACCTAGTTAAACTCTAGAAAAAGTTAGATTTTACACGTGTTTCCATATCACTAATTTACTTCTTTGGTACATACATGTTTTTCTCTTAGAGACCTCCGGTAGCCTAGTGGTAAGGTAAGCTCCCAACCCAGAGGCACACAGCTCAAATTCACCATCTTCTCCTCAGGAGAAAGACGGGCAATCTCTTCCCATGTGACTTACAGCGTGAGACCCTGCTGGAGGTCAGCCAAGAGTCAGTCCCAACTTGATAGGAAACAATCATTAACAACTGATCTTACTGCTACTGACTCAGAACCAACTCATGTGGACCCTCCAACTGGAGTTCTGAGGAGACTGTTGAATTGAATGTGAGGAGACTGTTCACCCGTCTCCCTTGGAGCTGCTGGTGGATTTGAACTAGCAGAGATGTACAGCCTTTGCGTTAGCAGTGCAATGCCAGTCAAGTAATTAATATGCATACGAATCTTCTCTATGCTTCTATCGATACGTCTGTGTACAGGTGACATACAGGAGTTCGAGTGTGTATTTTTTTTGCCCCTGGACACTCTATTTTGAAAAAGAATTTAAGAAATTTGAAGACTACTTGAGGTCGACCATCAAGAACAGTTCCTTACTAAGATGTAAGCTCCTGAAGAGCAGGACTCTAACCTGTTTTGCTCATCATTACACTCCCACATCTAACATTAGGATATACTATGG